ATGTTGTTAATGAGCTCGGTGAAATACTGTGGTGGGTTATTTGGATTGGGAGGGTTGGCTTGATGATCGGGGACATTGGGGTGAGAAGCCATAGATCTAGTTGTGACCATCCACCTTCACAGGTGGTAAGAAGGAGTTATTGGGAGAGGGTCTTCGGCGACAATGAGTACAACTGGCGTGCAGAACAAAAACCTTTCCCACAGACGACGCCAACTGATGATGCAGCGGGTTCCAGAGGGAACGGGTCAGACTGGTCCACGCTTCCCAAACCAGTGTCCGAGTGATCAAGCCCACGGGAGAACCTGCACAAGAGTTCAACGGGGAGTCCCCTAGCGAACCCTCCGATGAGCAAGTTAGAAAGAGAAGTGGACTGTAGAGATAGTTTAGAGATAGAAAACTTAACCTTCTTCCTGTCTTCGACGTTTGCTTATATCCTCTGATAATCATTTCATTGTCCCTTCCGACCTGTCACCTTGGCCGAAAGTCTATGTTCTAGCTTACCCTTTTCATGGTGAAGGCGTTCTGTCCCGACAAAGAGGGTTATCGCAATAAATGCTGTAAGGGGCCTCATTAATGGCGATGTGCCGTGGCAATAACTTTGCAGATCTTTGTCGGCTGATGTGGCTTGCCCTTCTCTTGCCATGTGTCTTGATGTCATTGGTTCTTATTGCTACATGGGGCTTCAGCAGTGCTGGGCTTTAGCATTTGAGTTATGTATTGGGCCCTAAATGGTGGGCTATAATCTTTATGGGCTTACCCATGTCAGCTAACAAAGTATAATCATATCAATGATTATACTTTTGCAATTACATTTTAAAATTTCCAATTTGGTGTGCAAATCAAGGCAAAGGCTTCGAGACAAATAAGTAGAAGACATCAAGTTTACCATTTTAGTTAAACCAAATCAAACCAAGCCTTAAGTCCTATTAAATGAGGTCGGCTATATTAATCATTCTTCTCCACACGACTCTATCAAAGGTCATTTCGTCAGTCAAATTAAGTAGATTCATAAATCTATTTACACTGCTAGTTAACGTTAATCTAGGTCTACCCACTCCCCTAACATATCCATCTACCGTCATTGCATCGCATCTTTTCACTACTGTCTCTATTAGCTTCCGTTGAATATGACCAAACCATCTCAATCGATTCTCTCTCAACTTATCTTCTATCGGCGCTACTCTTACCCATTCCTGAATACACTCATTTCTAATTCTGTCTTGTCTAGTTTTGCTACACATCCACCTTAGCATATTCATCTCAGCAACACTCATGTTATCTGCATTTTGTTTCTTGGTTGCCCAACACTCCATCCCATACAACATCGTTGGTCTAATAGCCGTTCTATAGAACTTACCTTTTAGTTTAATGGGTATTCGTTTATCACACAGTACCCCAAATGCATTTATCCATTTAAGCCATCTCGCCTTAATCCTATGGGCCACATCCGCATCAATCTTCCCTGCCGTTGTGATAATCGATCCTAAATAACGAAAATGTTCACTCTTAGTCAGTTCTTGGTTCTCAATCTTCGTTTCTCCTCTGTTTTCATTGTTACTATTACTAAATTTACACTCCATGTACTCTGTCTTAGTTCTGCTTATTCGGAATCCTTTAAATTCAAGTACTTTTCTCAAAATCTCGAACTTTGTATTAACTCCTTCTCTAGTCTCATCCACTAACACGATATCATTTACAAAAAGTACACACCATGGCATGTCATCCTGAATATTTCTCGACAACTCATCCATAACTAACGCAAAAAGATAAGGACTTAAGGTAGATCCTTGGTGTAACCCTATAGTGATAGGAAATTCATTTGTCTCTCTAGCAGGCTATCTAATAGTGGTCACCACCTCTTCATACATGTCCCTAATCACATCAATATAACCTTTTGTCACCCCTTTCTTCTCTAACACTCACCATATTATATCTCGAGGCATTATGTCATATGCTTTCTCAAGGTCGATAAACACTATATGAATATCTCTTTTCTTTTCTCTATACTTTTCTATTACTCTCCTCAACAGATAGATCACTTCCATTGTTGACCTGCCAGGCATAAACCCAAATTGATTCTCTGACACCTCTATTATATCTCGCAATCGGCGCTCCATCACCCTCTCCCACACTTTCATTATATAACACATTAGCTTGATTCCTCTATAGTTGTTGCAATTCTGGAAATCCTCTTTATTCTTGTATATTGGCACTAAAATACTCTTCCTCTGCTCATCTGGCATGTTCCTAGTCAATAAGATTTTGCTAAACAACCTAGTCAACCAACTAACCTCCTTTTTATCCAAATACTTCCAAGCTTCAATAGGGATATCATCGGGGTCCTAAAGCCTTATTTGATTTCATCTTCTTAAGTGCAATCTCTACTTCAAAGTTCCTAATCCTTCAATAGAACCTATAGTCTTGTTTTATTGTATTACTGGCTATTCCTTCGACGTACCTCCATGTTCCTCACTTAATAGTTTCTCAAAATAGTTCTTCCATCTCTCTTTAATCTCTTTATCCTTCACCAATACCTTAGAATCCTCACTTTTGATGCACTTAACTTGATTAAAATCTTTTGTTTTCCTCTCTCGTATCTTAACAAGTTTGTATACCCTTTTCTTTCCCTCCTTACTATCTAGTCTAGTGTATAAGTCATCATAAACTTTCAATTTAGCCTCTCTCACTACTTTCTTGACTTCCTTATTATCCAATCTATAGCTCTTAAGGTTTTCCTTAATTCTATCATTTTGTCACTTTTTAAAGCAGTCTTTTTTTGCCTTAACTACCACTTAAACCTCTACCAAGTTTCCCTAGAGCTGGGTCTCATTCCTTTCGACTCTTCAAGCACTTCCCTTGAGATTCTCCTCGTACAATTGGCCATCGAGTTCCACATAGTATTAGCATCATCTTACAAGTCTCAAGCACCTTCCTTATCTATTCTATTCTTAAATATTTCTAGTTTATCCCTTTTTAGGTCCCACCATCTCGTCCTACGACGCACACCATCCTTCCTAGCTTGGTATTGCCCTTTAAAACATAAATCTAGTACCAAAATCCTATGTTGAGAGACCAGGTTCTCTCTAGGAATCACCTTACAATCACTGCATTTTAGGCGGTCCACTTTTCTCACTAAAAAGTAATCTATTTGGCTCTTAACTAACCCATTCTTAAAGGTTATCAAATGCTCATCCCTCTTCTTATACATAGTATTGGCCACCACCAGTTCAAAAGCCAACACAAAATCTAAGATACTCTCTCCAGCCTTATTTTTATCACCAAAACCGTATCTACCATACACCTTTTCATAGCCTAGTTTATCTATGCCTATATGGCCATTGAAATCTCCACCTATAACTAGGTCCTCTCCTACGGGTATCTCCTGTAAGATCTCATCCATTTCACTCCCAAAATTCCCTCTTAGTCTGATCATCTAATCCTACTTGAAGGGCATATGCATTAATAACGTTCACTATATTCCCTCTAATAACTAATTTAACTAATATAATCCTATCCCCTTTCATAATGATCGTCACTACATTTTTTACAAGACCCTTGGCAAATTATGATTCCTACCCCATTCCTGCGTCTATCCTTACCATTATAATACAGTTTAAAACAGCTATCCTCAATTTTCCTAGCTTTCTCACCCGTCCACTTAGTTTCTTGTACGCATGTTATACTAACTCTCCTCCTAATCATAACATCTACCAATTCCATCATCTTACCAGTTAAAGTTCCTATATTCCAAGTGGCTATCCTAAACCTATAGTCTTAGACTAGCTTTTTTACCCACACTCGTCCAAAAAAACACAGGAACCTTTGCCTATTTTTCATCGCACCTAGGCATCGATGCGGTACCCCTTGCTTACTTTTCAAAACACCCGGAGGCAGGTGCAACGCGTCACTTGAGGGGAACGACCTAGCATTTAATCAATTCAAAATAGGATTCATTGTCATAAGGGATCCGAGTAGCTTTTTTATGTGTTGGCGGTTGGCTACCTAACACACAACTCTCCTCCTTTACCCGAGCTTGGGATCGGCGAAGTTGTTAACCACCCTAGCGGAGTTACCATTTTAGTTAAACAAACATCTTTATTCTTAGTAGAGCAACTTCAATGCAATTGATAGTTATTATATTTTTTATTTGATGATGATGACAATGATGACGATTGATGACTACCGTGACATCAATTGTGTTTCCTTACTTGGACATTAACAAAACATGTGTGTGAGAGCAAAATTACAGACTGCGTTATATAACCTAAACAAAGTCAGCCATGACAAATCAATGTCTAGACTGGTTTTAGAAATCCTATTAACATGTTATTCTAATTTAACTTTTTTCTGTCAAAGCATTTTTCTTTTTGCAATATTAGAGGTAAAAATATATCTAAATTCTCATTCAAGAAACCTACTGGAAAGATTTAATATGCTTCATGCGGAATGTGATTTCAATAATTGGCTAGTCATGGTAAACAAGAATGATGGGTTGCTATGATGCTTGGTTCAAAGGAGACAAAATAATTGATCTACTAGTTCACTAGATATAAGGATTGTGGAGTTTTGCTTACAATTTTAAGTTGGAAGAGTATTCCATGTCATATGCCGCACCAAAACGCTTAAGGAGCAGCCATAATAGAATGACATTGCACAATATGGTCAAAAAGAAAGGGATTGGCAAATGTATGCAAAATCAATGGCCCAAAAGTACACGCATCAAGTCAAGGCCCCCACCTTATTTAACTGAGGAAACCGATAAGTAACCTTCAGGAACTTGACAAATGCATGTGAAATCAGTGGTCCAAAATTATATGCATCCAATCAAGGCCACACCTTTCATAACTAAGGATACGGCATAGATACGTAACACGTTCATTATTCTGTATGATTGCCTTCTCTTGTGGGTTATCTATTTGTGAATATAGCTTTGCCCATATGCTAAAGAACTCAAACACTAGAATATGAAATATCATCCCTAGTTAAATATGAACTCAAACACTCAGTTTTGGGGTTGTCACATTAGAAATTGTCACCGGAAAGAACAATATGAAATATCATCCTTCTGAGAATTATGTTGGTCTGCTTGATTGGTTAAGTGTTTGGTTCTTTAAGGTTTTTGATTAAATACACATTTAAAAAAAATATTTGTTTTGGGACCTATCTGTTTGGCGTTATTGGCCAGCTATGACAAGTTAGCACAAACTTGGTAAGAGGTTGATTTACCTAAATTGGTTGTGTCAAGGAGGATTTGCGCTGATTGTCAATTATGGTTTATGAGGATTAAAAAAAAATTTGGTCATAAATGTTCTCTTTATTTAAATGGTAGTGAATTACTTCTATTTAGGATAAATAATATTCCAATAATCTTGGGAATTTAGAATGAAAAGTTTGAAGTTGGTCAAAATTTTGTTTTTCAAGATAAGATACAAGACAAAAAGAGAGTGCTTTCAAATTTCAATTGTTTGTCCCTGGGATTTGGTGGTTAGGGTGGTTTCACATCATCATGGCATTGAAAGGTCAATCATGGATCCAAGTAATTAAGGTGATGAATTCAGATTTGAAGCTCAGAGACAAGTATGATGATATATGCAACTCCAAAGTTCAAGTGATGATCAGACCCTTGTTGATTCATTGGGCACAATAGGAAATGGCTCATCCTCTATGTATGCCCATGATCTTTATCCAATAAATCTTGATTCTCCATAACACAGCCTGTACAAGAATGCGTCTTGGCGGCTCTATGATATGTTGTGTAATGCATTTCATGGTTGCCTTCTTTGTTAGCATTTTCCTACTTTCAGTATGCAATCACTTTTGTTTTCAGATGTATGGCAAGTTCTTTCAATTCAAATTACTTTCCAAATATGCAGCCTTCATGTTCTACCTAGTCTTTTCCCAAATTAAGCTAAATTAGCAACTTAATTCCCAAACTAGGCCTAGTTTGGACGGATTTCCCAAACTAGGCTAAAGCGCTATTACAAACCACGTTTTCACTGTTTCTGGCAGAAAATTTGTGAAATAGTAAAAGCGTGGTTACAAACCACGCTTTTAATTAAGAAAACGTAGTTACAAACCACGCTTTTAAGGAAAATTTGTTTTCTTCAGAAAACATGATTTCAAACCACGCTTTTACTGTGCTTATTTTGTTTTCTTCAGAAAACGTGGTTTCAAACCACGCTTTTACTGTGCTTATAATTTAAATTTTGTTTTCTAAAGAAAACGTGGTTCCAAACCACGCTTTCACTGTGCATATTTATTTTCTTAAGAAAACGTGATTGTGAATCACACTTTCACTGTTGACTACAAGAAGCGTGGATTGCAACCACGCTTTTACTGTTCATTTAAATTTTATTTTATTTTATTTTATTTTTTCTGTTGTCATTATTTTGGTGATAATGTAATTCATAAATTTTTTTTGGCTTTACTAAAGCCGTTCTCATGTTAATTTTTTTTTTCTTTTGTCATTGTTTTGGGTTAGAATGTGTAATTCGAAAACTTTTTTTGGCTTTACTAAAGCTGTTTTCATGTAAATTTTTTTTGTTTTTTCTTTTGTTTTTGTTTTGGGTTAGAAGATGATAATGTAATTCAGAAATTTCTTTTGGCTTTACTAAAGCCGTTTTCATGTAAAAAATTTTTTATTTTTTTATTTTGTCTTTATTTTGGGTTAGAAGGTGTTATTCAGAAATTTATTTTGGCTTTACTAATGCCGTTTTCATTTAAATATATATATTTTTTCTTTTGTCTTTGTTTTGGGTTAGAAGGTGATAATGTAATTCAAAAAACCGGTTTAGTAAAACCGTTTTCTAGCCGTTTTCATTAAAAAAAAATAATAATTTCTTTCGTCTTTGTTTTGGGTTAGAAGGTGATATACATGCTCTACAGTCCAAAGCACACCCACACACTGTGCAGTTCGACGAACAACGACGAAGGGTGAGACGAGAAGAGCACTGCGGAGTAGGCCAAGAAGACGAAGTCCACCGCGAGAGTTACAACAAGAAGGAATAAGAGAAAGACCTCAAATTTTGGTGATGTACATACGAATGGTACTTTTTCCGTTTTTTGCTATGTAATGTAACTTGTATGTAATTTGAATTCTGATTACGAACAGGAACTTATATAATGTAAATATTGGGTTGGAGTTGATGTTATTATGATTCAATTGGTTTCGCTTATTTCATAAGACTGATGTTGTGCAATGAATGAATGAATGGAAATGTTATTTGTTTTATTCAATTGGTAGTGTATTTTTTGTAAGAATGAGAACGTTATTTGTTATATTCAATGAATAATGGTTACATTTTTGGGTTGTCACGATTGAGAAGATGAACAAGTTAAGAGAATGTGTATTTCTCCTAAAATAAATTTTGTCAACATTTTTGTAATAAAACTTCATACATAATATACGAAGTCACTAATTTACTAAATACTTATACAGGCATGAAAACAACATAACTGAAGTTGCAAATGTAACAGTTTTCAGTTACATAGGTAGTACAGACATAAGTCTCCCACCAAAAAACATTCTGGACACCATAAACTGAACACACAATACATACATCCTGGACACCCTGAACTGAACACACAATACATAAACATAACAGTTAGACAGACAAATATTAGGTAGACAATCTGACAAACTCATTACGAAAACACTTAGTCTAACACAGACATTACATATTAATGCATGACCTAATATTGTCGAAGTGTAGACATTAACACCTAATTCGCGCTTAAATCGGCAATCTCAGAGTCTAAATAATCTGAAAGCTCAGCGTCAGAGACAAGTTCATGATCCTCCATGATACCATTGATAGCCGCAACATTTGGTTCTGTTCTGTTCTTCTGGGCATCCTTCTTAACTATATATAGTTGCATATTGCGGGCTAACCTACGGCGCATTTGAGAAATCTCACATTGTAGTCTTTCACATAGTCGATCAACATTATCAGGATCTTCCTTTTGGATCTCAACAGAACGTGCTTTGGTACCTTAAGTTGATTTTCCCAACTTAAGGTTTCTAGTTGTACTCGCTGTATAAATAGTGCGGGCCACTTGAGACGAGTAGCGTCAGATAAACCATATCCTGTTTGATTGTCAGATGGCTCCATACATGAACCTCCTTGAACTCGATAATACTTGGGCATCAAAAAATGTCGCTTCCCAAACCTATCACGATAACCACAAGCATAATCTAAAACAGGTATTGTTGTTTCGTCTTCAGCATAGCCACGTCCCCTTTCCCCTCCTCGTCGTGAACTGTCACCCCTTTGCAAGTTCCTACCACCTCTGCTATTCCCACTCCCTCTGATGAATCGTGTAGCCATGCTAATTTTTTTAAATAAATGAATGATAATTTCGTAGGGCGAAATGAGTTGTAAGGTTGTGTCTTCACCTTTAGTCGTTTATATAGTTGGTTATGAATGGCTTTAGAAAGACATTGAAGGAAAAACCATAGAAAATAAATGTCTCTACATGACAATCCCACATATACGAACAAGGTATGAGTTGTCACTAGAATGAAAAAACAGAGAAAAGCAAATATTGTGTACCAAGTCATGTATTGTGTACCAAGTCACGTGACTTGACAATCCATCTGCATATACTGACAAAATAAGGGCATGCTCACTGTAAGGTAAATCAGTGAATTCACTGTTGCCATGCGACTTTCTGAATTGACAATCCCGCATATATCAATAAGAGATGAGTTGTCACCGTGATCAGAAAACAGAGAAAAGCAATGCCTGTGCACCAAGTCACATGACTTGATAATCCATCTGCATATACCGACAAAATAAGGGCATGCTCACTGTAAGGTAAATCAGTGAATTCACTGTTGCCATGTGACTTTCTGAATTGAGAATCCCACATATATCAATAAGAGATGAGTTGTCACTGTAATAAAAAAATCAAGAAAACCAAAGCCTGTGCACCAAGTCACATGACTTGACAATCCATCTGCATATACTGACAAGTCTCTCCACGATTTGACTACTCAATGTGTGAAAAAAGGAAGCTTATGTAGGCAATGTTGTGTTTCACTTAGCTATGCATCATTTGTTGTTACGACCAACTATTTGTATTTCATTGAAAAGTATGACTATTTGAATTTTTGTTATCATTTGGAATTATATTAAAATCAACTTTTGAATATTCTGTGTGGGTGATTTTCCGACCACACTGCCCGCTTAGTAACCAGCTGGAGAGCACTGGCAGAATAGATGGCACCTGACTGACCTACAACAGAAATATAAGAATCCCGTGGTGGTTTCGACCACGCGGGGGCACTCCGACGATCAAGTCAGTATATCTCTCAAAGATAATCAAGTACTAAACTCACAAACTTGAGTATCAAAAGCATACCTTAGACCCATGGGGGTACCTCTCTTTTATAGTCAATACAATCCTAGTCCCAATAGGAGCCTGGCCCTAATGGACTTAGGATTACTGCTAATCTGGGACTCCCAGTGGGAATAGGATAAACTCTCTAAGAGTCTTATCTTTACCCAAACTGAAGTGTTCTCCCAATCTAGGACTCTTGTCCATATCCAAGTTGAGTTCTCTCTTCATTCTAGGACTCTTGTCCCTTATCCGCTTATCTCAGTTTCCGATATCTTCGGAGGCAACCTCGGCCTAGCCGAGATGACCTCGGCACTTTTGATATCTTCGGAGATAACCTCGGCCTTGCCGAGATCACTTCGGCATCACGACCAGGACACGTGGCACCTCGGCTGACACGTCGGCGTCACCTTGCCACGTGTTGGTACTCAGAAAATATATCCCCACAACTGCCCCCTAGGTTCTATTACTTCGGCATTCTGAGGTGATGGAACCTACACTGTTCGTTCATCTGTGCCCCTCTGTCTGAGATCAAACTCGCCGACCTCAAAGTTCCGTGGACTTTACCATCCACTGGTGTCAAGAATCAAGTTTCATGTTTTCCAAGCTGCTTGAAATCGCACCTCCTAGCCGAGGTTCTGGTTCCATTAATTTGTAAACTCCAAGAGCTTTGTAACTGCTCCACTCACACTCTCTGGTGAGTTCCCAATTTCCAGTCATCTATTTGACTCGTTCATTTCACTTGGTAGGTTCAT